TTAATGATGAGAGGGAATCATTACCGTATTTTTCGGACCATAAGACGCACCGGACCATAAGACGCACCAGTTTTTAGAGAAGGGAAATGAAGAAAAAAGATTCTGAAACAAATAGTGTCCTAAAATATTTTATGTGCATTAAAACCCAACATCACAGTCATAAACACATGTAATCAACCCTGTAAAGTAAACAGCAGCATTTAGAACCATTTTAGAGCCGGGCAAGCACACAGAGACCACACAGAGCCGGGCAAGTAAAAAAACTTTTTTTTTAAAAGTATATGTGTAGGCTATATTTGGACCATAGGACGCAGGGACTTTTCCCCCCCACTTCTGGGGGGAAAAAAGTGCGTCTTATGGTCCGAAAAATATGGTAATTGTCTGCCTCCTGCACGTGCTCTACTGGGAATTGAGTCTGCAACCTGGGCATGTGCTCGCGACTGGAATTGAACCTGACACCTTTCAGTCCACAGGCCGAGGCTCTATCAACTGAGCCAAACCAACTAGGGCCGATCATATATTTTTATAATGCCTGAAATCTTTTATAACACATTAAATACAAATTAAGTACTTGATTGGTTATAGTAGCTAATGTGGCTCAAGGTTTTATGTTTACAATCCAGTAAATTCATTTTGTTTGGAACAGGCATAATGGAACTCTTGTGTTAAGAGAAGCTTGCCAGACAGGGTGAGGTCCTAGCCCTAAAGCATCTGGGTTTATCAGATAGTTGTCAAATTTTTTAGGCACTGGAATGGAATTATACTTTTGTTGGTAATGGGCTCTGGTGTTCTTTGTTGGAGTCTGGCAAATGGCTGTGGTAAACAAGACTCCTAGGAAGTGTGGAAATGAAACTTAAGGAATAATTATTGTAGTTACCTGGAAGGCACCTGTTACATCTCTTGCAATATACTTAGACTATAATGAAGCTAATGTCTATTGAGTGAACTTTATATGCCAGGCATTCTGCACATCTTATCTTTTCAATTCTAGATTTTGGTGTTATCTATTATACCCATTTTACAAAATGAGGCAACTATGGCTCATGTCTATTTTGCAAAAGAGATGGACATTGACTTACTTGTTTAAGGTCACAGTGCAGAAGTTTCAAACCCAAGTTGTCTGACTCTAGTCTAGAGCTTATGCTCTTGATTTGCTTGCTGTACTATTTTACCTTAAATCTTAAGCTTTTTTTGGAGATAAGAAGTTAGGAACCTTATTTCTGAGACATTCCTCTGGCATATCTCTTTGAAGAATAAGAATATGGTCCTGACCTAGTTAAAAGTCAAAGAGACAGATAGGGAAGTTTTTATTACTTGGCAGTGCCCAACTAGATGACCTCACAAAACTGTGAAAATAAGTTAACTCTTTATGTCTCTGTGTTGAATGAACAGTTTTCACTTATTTTTTTCTCTTACTTTTTGAAGACTAAGTGACCCTTTGAAAATGAAATGTGTTTGAAAAATATTAACACAGCAGAGTGTTCACAGATATACTGCATATAGCTAGTGGTTAGTAAATTAAAACAAATTTTAAGTGTACTGAAGACCTTATAATCTGTAGAGTAAAGCAGTGGCCTTTATTTCTCCACCTTTTGAATATCTATGCATATTCATACAAGAGCAGTTTTAAGGAATGAAATGATAAGTTCAGTTTGGACATGTTTTAGACACATTACTCTGAAGGAACACTGAGGTGAATTTATCTAATATACCACTCAGTGAGTGGATTTTGAGATCAGGAGCTGAACTTGAGATGGAATTTTGTATTTTCTCCATTTTATATCTGTTTTTACTTAGAAATCTGTGTTCTAAACTACTAAGCATAACATATTTGGGTAGATTTAGAGGCAAGGCTTTATAATGTAGTTATGGACAGAGCCCTGATTTAGGGGATGAGGGTTCTAGTTGTAGTTCTATTGTGCTTTCAAACTGGGATTTTGAGCACAGAGACTCAGTTTACTTATGAAAACTTGAATTATTGATCTAGATTTTCACTCTTATCTATTACCAAAAACATTTTAATCCACGGGGCCTTTGTTATTTAAGAGCTTTGTTATTTAAGTACCTGTAATATGTATAAATGATACCTCTGGTGATACCTTTGGTGTAGGTTAAATAATTATTCAGAGAAGAGGAAGAGCAAAAAGGGGAGTGAAAAAATGGAATCAAAGACCTAATCCAATAAAATAGTTGAAGAACTTTACTGACACATTTTCTGTTTATGAACTTTCGTATTTAAACTAGAGGCCTGGTGCATGAAATTTGTGCATGGGCGGAGGAGTGTCCCTCAGCCTGGCCTGCACTCTCTCGCAATCCTGGACCCCTCAGAAGATGTCTGACTGCTGGGCTAGGCCAGATCTCACAGGGATCCTTACGGGATATGGCCTAAACCGGCAGTGACGGGACATCCCTCTCGCAATCCGGGACTGCTGGCTGCCTACCTGATAGCCCCTAACTGCCTCTGCCTCTGCCTCCTTCTGGAAGGATGGCCAGAATGACATCTGGAAGATTGTTTGGCTGTTCAGTTAGCCTTTTACACTTTTATTATTATAGATGAACAAAAGCTACTGACCAGAGTAAAAGTGTCTCTATCCTAACATGGTTTAATGAAAATGGGCAGTTCATTTCAATTTTAGTTTATTTCTGTCCATTGTTATTGTGTACTATAAGGTGTATGTTGAGTGCTTATCTTTATTTTAGAGATTTTTAAAAACATTAAAGCATAGTAGCAGTATGGAAGAGCTAGTAAGAAAAAGTATGTATTGCAGTAGAAAAGAAAGTGAAACTTAACTTTACATAGGTGTGTTCATATTGGTCATTGGTACAGTGTCACTTTGTATTTATGAACAAATGCATTTTGGAATTTAACTTTCTATAGAGAAACATTTTTATTAGGATACTGGTTTCTTTATTATTAAAAGTATTGCAGTCATTGTTTATAATGAAAATATATAGAAATAGTTTAAATATCTAATGATTGACTTATAAAACAGTATCTGTCATTAATATAATTCTGCTATTACTATGGGCACACAATTTGGTAGGTACAGAAAAAATTTTAGACAATGCTTACCCAAAGAATCAAGAGAAGTTTTTCTTTAATTTTTTTGGTTCCTGGCACATTGTTTTGCAAATAGTAGGCACTGGAACATTTATTCAGTTTAGTTAGGGGGACATAATTTTCAAATGTAAAACAATGTATAATTAATGTTAACTTTGTGGCATAGTCAGTAAGTGCTGTATTTAAAGGTCTATATCAGTCAAGACACAGAGGTTAGGAAGCTTTGTGAAAGAAATGGTATTTCAGTTTAGAAGAATGGAAAAGGTTTGAATGGGTGCTGAGAAATGGGATAGGTGTTCCTGGAATGGGAATATCAGAAGTTGAGAAGGGAGGCAAGAAATACAGTAGTTTCTGTGGAGGACCATTTGGAGGGGCAAGCCTAGGATAGAGGAATTGGGTCGGGTGGTAATTTAAAGGAAAAGATTATAAGTAATGTTTGTCTAAGATCATATGTGGGTATGTCTGTCTATGATCAATTTAGGTCAAAGCGCTTTTTTTTTTTTCTCTCTCTCTCTTTTAGATATAGTGCATTGTTAAAAAACTACCTGAATGTGCTAAGAATACCTAATGTTGGAGTTAATTCATTATTAAAAGGTGTGGATTGAGTGAATGTGGGAAACTGCTGGGTTAAAATTCAGTTTAAGTCCGTAGAAATAGCACCTAAATTGAATTATTAACCCTTATTTTATTTTAATAACTCGTTAGGGACTACACAGTAATCTATGATGATCTTTAGAGTCCAGAATATATGGGGAATTGGCTTTCCTGAATAAGGAAACTGAATGTATGATTTGGCTAGCACATTCTAGCTGGATTTAAATTTTCAGGGAAACACATTCAGCAACTCAGTTTCATTCTTGAACTTGTCTCTTTAAAATTAAATTGTAAATAAATGCTGTTTCAAAGAATTAGATGCTATTTAATGTGATATATTTTTATATCTTTGTCTTTTCATTTTCGTTTATGGCTATAAGCATGTGATACAATATTTAATAAAATTAAAATAAACTTTTAAATTAAACTTTTAAATTAAACTTTTTAAATTAAAATTTTCCTTTTACTTTTGTTAGTAGTGATAATTTTTTTAAAAACAGGCAAACATCTTTGGATAGTATTTTTTAAGCATTTCTCCCTCCACTGTGAAATTGTTTTCACTCTTAAGTTGTGCTTCTGTTTTTCTACTATTGTAAAGTGCAGTTCTTTGCATGTTCTAATTTGCCATGACGTGGTCAAGTGCTGTTTCCTTCCTGTTGCTTGCAAGCCTGTGCTAGAGATAAGGATACATTTCAGTGCATTAAAAAAGAAGCCACTGAAGACAGGCTTAAGCATGGTAAAGCATTCTACTTATCAGAAACTTTTTTAAAGAACAGACAGTGGGATTTAATTTCTTCTTATTTTTTTAAAAGCTCTTAAAATAGTACTTACTAAACTTTAAAGGTATTAGACAGATTTTTAAAACCTTATATATTAGATATAATAGAGATACGTCTGAATGTTTCTATTAAGGCAAAAATAATACATTATAAAATTACTCATGGAGTAGCATTTCCAGTGTATGTGGTTTGCTGAGTTAGTGAAAAGAAGAAAATTGTTTATATGCCCTTTATTGTAATTATAAACCTAGCTGTTGCTAGGTGGAGATTATATATATATATATATATATATATATATATATATATATATATATAACTTTAACAGTAATTTAACTGGAGGTTAGAGAGAAAGGCTTAATTTTCAGTAATGAGGTGATTTTATCTTAGCAAGAATGGAATCGTCAAAGAAATTATTTACCTAACTTAAAAAAAAAGTGTGCTCATTAGTCATGTTGTTTTTGTTTAAAAATATTAACAAAAATACTTTGGAGACACTGCCTTTGGTATCATTTGTTATATTCTAAGTGGGTATGATTTTGTTACTAACTTAAACTTTTGTTTTTCAGGCCAAGAAGTTCTGGAGAAGAAAAATTTCAGAAAAATTGCCTCAGTTTGAATAGCATATCAGAAAATTTGAAACACTTTTCCTAAAGAAACCAAGAAAATTTGAAGCTCCTTTCCTAAAGAAAACCTGTGTATACTGTAACTTCACAGACTTAGTTTTTTTGTTTTTGGGGTATTTTTTTTTACCCAAATTGTCACTGGATTTTGCTGCCTGATACTTGAACCTGTTTGGAAGTTTTCTAATGTGCATCTAAGGGGAATGCTTTATTATGGCTGCTGTTGTCCAACAGAACGACCTGGTATTTGAGTTTGCTAGTAACGTCATGGAGGATGAACAACAGGTATGAGACCCAGAAAAAAATTTGGATTTTAATAAATTTATTGTTGTGATTTCTTCATTTGTATCAGAAATTACTTACTTTAAATGAGAGTATGAAAAACTTTATTAATATAGAAATCTAGATATTAAAAATATGGAAGTAATTGTGATCTTATATTTTAAGTACTGGTTAATTCGTTAAAGAATCTTAACCTTAACTGTGACATGGTAACAAGGAAGTATTACTTTTGGAGTTAAGCTTGTTTTTTTTTGTAAAATGAGATTTAAATATCTTAAGTAATTATTTGAAAAGTTCTGGAAGACATTTTAACAAAACGTGTAAAATATTTAATAGTACATGATGTAATAGTTGCTTGTAGTTACATAATTTTAATGTATATGGTTAATTAATATTATAACCCTAGGTTACTTTTTCAAGCTGATGAAAAGATGTTAGCAGTTCTATAATCATATGTCATTTCAATCCAAAGCATGTGTCTCTGAGGAAGTTCTCTAGATCTAGATTTCATAATCTTTTGAGTGAAGGGATTAAACTGAAGAATTTCTAAATTGGTTCTTATTGAATTTATACAAGATGTACAATGTACTGTTTCTTGAATGTAAGAAGGAACCAGGAGATATTAAGAAAAGGATCTAAGTTAATTCTAGCCTTCCTATTTTGGGTGGGGATAGGTTAGGGGTTCTTGGGACTTCATAATTTACTTCATTTAAACAGGTTGTATGGCCATGATGTGGGAGAAATGGTATAAGAGAGACTCAGTGTACTGGGGGAAATATTTTGAGGACTGGTAGGTGTAAAATCTGCCTAATAAAGTTGATTTATATACTGAAATAAACCTAATTTCAAGTATCTAACTTTAATAGATCAATTATAATATATCATGTTTTTATTCTAGAAGTACAGTTACTACAGGTAATAAAATAAATTCCCACTTTTGGCAGGACATTATACTTTCTTAGCTGATTGATTGTATTGTGTATTGAAATGACAGAATTCTAAAAATTATAAATAAACCTACAAAAGATCAGAATTTGGATTAAGGTGCCTTAAAGTCAAGATGAGTTTAGGGTAGGGCAGCAAAAAGTTTGAGGGAGAGGATTGATTGGTCCCAATTAAAAATAAATTAATACTTGCCCTAGCCAGTTTTACTCAGTGGATAGTGCGTCGACCTGCATATGAAAGGGCCCCAGGTTCGATTCTGGTCAAGGGCACATGCCCAGGTTGTGGGCTCAATCCCCAGTAGGGGGCATGCAGAAGACAGCCAATCAATGATTCTCTCTCATCATTGATATTTCTATCTCTCCCTCTCCCTTTCTCTCTGAAATCAATAAAAATATATTTTAAAACATTAATAGTTATCTGGATTTAATATAGAGATAAAAGAAAATATATTTTAGGAAGAGAAAGTGTTTTGAATTTGCTTTAAAGCAGGACATTTTTGTGTATGCTAAGGTTTGAAAATAGTGTTTACTGTGCAGCCCTTTTCGATGAAAGATCCCAGACTTGATGTGGTGAGGTTTGTTCTCGGGATGTGGTTGCAGATGATAAAGCTTTAGCCACTCACTGATGTGCTTCAGTGCAGTAGCTTTGACACACTTTTGACTATGAGAAACATATTTTATATTATGGAACAGTATTCATACATGTAGCTACATAGCCTTAAAAAAGTTTTGTAAAATACTATTTCCTCTTATTATGTATGGTGCACTTTAGTTTATCTTGGAGAGATTACTAATGTCTTTGGATCAGGAGATAGTGCTTTTAGCTTAACATCTGAGTGTACATTTCTAAAGTTATTTATTTTTACCTAGCAAAAGGAATATATATTAATTTTGTGCAAGTATTATTACAAGGACTTGACAAATATTTTAATCATATACGGCAAATGTTATTATCTGTTTATTATAATGAGACATGGAGAGAGGTTCAGAGTCTTGCTTAAAGCCATACAGCTAGTACATAGTGGAGCTTCATTTGAACCCCAGCAGTTTGACTCCCACTAAGAATATTGAACACTGTTGCAATGATAAATGCCAATCTTATTATATTATAATCAGTGTACAATGTTTGGAACAATTGGCACAGATTTAGAGTTCTTTAATCTATGGCACAGTAAACATAACTGATTCACATGGGGGTAGATCTAGCAGTGTCAATCTTACTAGCATCTTATCTAACTGGTGCTTCTACTAGCTTGTTTATTCACTTGTTAAATTTGTTTTAAATTAAATAAATAGTACAATGCCAATTATAAAACAAAGTCACCTAATATGAAAATATGTAAAATAGTGCAAGTCTTACTTCCTTCTCATTCCTTAATTTGATTCAAAGATATTAGTATTTGCTATTTGATGTTTAATTTTTTCTAGACAAAGGCCTAAAGGAAAGAATACTATGTGTATATACAAACCCACACCCAGAAGTTGTTTTTAAAATAGAAATGAAAGTATGTGAAGCCATTTTTGTGACTTGTTTGTTTGTACTTAATATATCATTTATTTTTCACATACCAGTCTAATCATGTACAATTGGCTATTAACAGTACTGTATTTTGCTATTGTAAACAGTCTATACTAAGGATAGAGGAATATGCAAATTGTCTGGGACTTTGTCACAGTAACAACTGAAAACAGCAAGCTGCGTGGGGTGACCAGGCCAGCAGAGGGGGGCAGTTGGGGGCAACCAGGCTGGCAGGGGGCGCAGTTAGGGGTTATCAGGTACACAAGTGAGAAATTAGGAGCCAGCAGTCCCGTATTGTGAGAGGGATGTCTGACGGCTGGTTAAGGCCTGATCCTGGGTACATCCGGCCGTCAGATATCCCTGAGGCATCCTGGATTGGAGAGGGTGCAGACTGGACTGAGGGGACCCCTTCCAATGCCCAAATTTTGTGCACCAGGCCTTTACTATTAAAATAAGCATCTTAGTTTGGCTGCTGTTCAAATCTCAGATTTTGCAGCCAGAACACCTAGGTCTGAATCCTTGTGCCACCTCTATGACCTTAAGTAAGTTCCTTAACCTCTCTGGTCCTTGGTTTCCTTATCTACAAAATGAAGATAATAATAACAGACCTAATATTATAAGGTTGTTATGAGCATGAAGCGAATTGATGTGTATAAACCATGTTTGGCACATAGCTAATATTTACCCAGTATCATTTTTTATTGCAACTTTATGTATGTATGTATAATCATATCCTTCCTATATAATAAAAGCCTAATATGCAACTTGTCCCCTCAACCTGGAGTTTAACCACTCGCTATGACATGCGCTGACCACCAGGGGGCAGCGTGGAACATGGAGGGTGTCAGCAATGCAGCACTGAGAGTGGGCGGCAGTGGAGGCACTGCCAGCTCCAATGGGCCCTGATGAGAGTGGGACTGCAGTGGGATGTTGGAGAGGTGAATGGGTGGTGCCACGCCGAGGCAGGTGTGAGCAGGAGCCTAATCTTCCCGCAGACAGTGACCAGCAGTGGCAGGGGTGGGGGAGTAGGGGAGGGAAGTTGGGACTACCGCTTGGCTCCCAGGTGGGGGACCCAGCTCCAACTGATTGCGCCACAGATGGTGACCAGTGGTCAGCAGGCCCTGATTGCCTGATTGGGGCCAGGTCCCAGGCTGGGACGGAGAACTGGGGGTGGGTGACAGCGACCAACTTCTCGCAGTGCCCGGGTGGGTCTGTGACCTCTTACTGGCTACCTGGAGGCAGGGGTGATGGGTATACAGGTGCAGTGGGAATTCGGGGTGTCTGCCAAGCTTGCTCTCACTCCCCCTTCTACCCTCCCCCGGTACACCAGGGCTTGCGTGCCAAGAAGCCCCTGTGCTCAGGTGCTGGGCACCCATGAGGAGCCCACCCCACACTCACGTGGTCTCTTCCAGGTGAGCCAGGCTGCAGCCTTTGGGACCACAGCGTCCAGTTGGGCTCCCGTGGGTTTGTGAAGGAGCTGGTCTGTGAGGCTGGCCAGGAGAGAGTGCACTGCCCGCCTGGATTCTGTGTGGCACTGCTAGGCAGCCCAGTGGCCCATGCTGCGCCCCACCCTGCAGCTTCCAGCCAGGCTCACCACATCTCCACGTGGGGACTTGGGTGCGTGGTGCCGTGACACAGGTGGAGGGGTGTGTGTGGAGGACTGGGGGCCCAGGAGCTTCCTAGGGCCCAGAGGTCAGCTGGAACCTGCCCTTCCTCGCCAGACACTTGTGATTCAGTTGCCAGCCAGGCCTAGGGATCACACTGTGCACCAATTTCATGCACTAGGCCTCTAGTAATAGTATAAAGTTATTGCAATACTTGTATGGTTATTATAGGATTTCTAAAAGTAGATGTACTAAGTTTACTAAAAGCATAAGCATATTATCAAATCATTCTTTCAAAAGGCTATATCAGTTTCTACTACCACCAATAGTATATTTCCTAAAGCATCACTATCAGAAATTTTCTTTTTGGTCAGTCTTTTTTGTTGATAATTACAGTTTACTATTTTAATTTGCATTTCCTTGACTACTAGCAGAGAGGTTGTTGAATTGTTAATTATAAGTACCTTTCATTTAAGTTTCTTTCAAATTACTTACTAATATCATTTTGCCTGATAATTTTTTTTATATATTATGGCTTTTATATCAGTATCATTGTCTTCTAACTAATTTATTATATAGGCAATGATTTACTCTTTTTGTGACATGAGGCTGAGATTTTGTCCCTACCATATTTTAACATATCTTTTTCCCTATAGAAATTTTAAATATTTATGGTATAAAATTTACCATTTTTTATGTCTATTAAGCTTTCCTCACCCTTAAAATTATTAGATAGTCATTAGATAGTCTCTTAATATTTTCTTCTAGTATATCTTATGTGTTTTATTTTCAGTTCAGATGAAATCTACTTCTACAGAATATTAGAGGCCCAGTGTATGAAATTCATGCCTGAGTAAGGACAGATGGGGCCTCCCTTCCCTGGCTGCCAGCTGCCAGCTGGGGCTTCCCTTCCCCAGCTGCAATAAAACTCCTGGT